CAGCGTGCCGGCTATGTGGTGTATCATGTGTGGTACACGCACTGGACAGGGACCAAACACACACACACACACACACACACACACCTCCTTGATGCATGCCATGGTGTAAGGCAGCTTGGCAAAGTCGTCGAAGCTTGGTGCATCGCTCGCCCCGAGCGCTTCAAAGATTTCCTCGCGACACTGATGGTTATGATGGTGATGATGGTGGTGACTGGAGGAAACACAATGATGGTGCACAGGCGGCAGGAGAAATTATTGCACACAGCCAGCAAACCAACCAGAGCATGCATGCATGCATGCACAAACACAAACACAAACAAACAAACAAACAAACAAACAAACAAACAAACAAAGACACAAACAAACAAGCAAACAAAACAAAACAAAACAAACAAAACACATGTGCCTGCCCACCTTCTGTTGCTCCTGTGGGTGCTTGGCAAAGAGGTACGTGATGAAGGTGAGAGCGGTTGCGGTGGTGTCAAAGCCGGCGCCAAGGAACGTCGTGCACTGCGCCTCCAGCTCCTCTGTCGTCAGTGCTGGGTTGCCGTCTTTGTCGCGCGAGAGGAGACAAATGTCCAGGAAGTCAAACAGCGCGCGCCCGGAGGGGCTGTTGTGGTGTTGTGTGTTGTGTGTGTGTGTATGTGTGATTCCGTGAGTGAGTACAAGTGTCTATTTTGAATGTGCAATTGTGTGTGTGTGTGTGTGTGTGTGTGTGTGTGTGTGTGTGTGTGTGTGTGTGTGTGTGTGTGTGTGTACCGTTTCCCGCGTGCGATGTCCTCGAGCGACATGCCCTGCAGCTCATCGCGTCGCTTCTCAATGATCTGAGGTGGTGACAACATGGTATTGTCGTGGCGGTGGTGATGATGATGGTGTGAAGGAAGGACGAGGAGGGAAGCACCAGCAATCCAAGGAAGGGTACAGCGCTTGCGCAAGGCACACACACACACACACATATGTACTTGCACCTTGCGAGCGTGGTCGTTGATGAATGCTGTCTTGCGATTGAGTTCACGACCGTGCGACGTGAGCGCATACACCCAATCAATCATGTACACGGGGTTGCCAAGACGCTGGCCGCGGTAAGTGTTGTTGTTGTTGTTGTTGTTGTTGTTGTTGTTGTTGTTGTTGTTGTTGTTGTTGTTGTTGTTGTTGTTGTTGTTGTTGTTGTTGTTGTTGTTGTTGTTGTTGTTGTTGTTGTTGTTGTTGTTGTTGTTGTTGTTGTTGTTGTTGTTGTTGTAGTTGTTGTTGTTGTTGTTGTTGTTGTTGTTGTTGTTGTTGTTGTTGTTGTTGTTGTTGTTGTTGTTGTTGTTGTTGTTGTTGTTGTTGTTGTTGAATGAAGAAGAAGGTGCAGACAGAAAGTGAGTGCACGGGTACAGCTGGGGATGTGCAATGATGAATCAAGCAACCTCAGCTGCAGTGCCTCGTACAATCCAGCCCTCACCATCCTCCTACCCCCCCCCCCCTCAACTCGGCTCCAGTCCTTGTCTTACCCGTAACACTTCCTCCGCCAGCGACGAAATTGTCTTCGTGAACGGCTCATCTGCGGTGTTCTGGCACCCGCTCTCGTAGCTGCGCCGTGACAACGGCGCATGTGGGGCAGCGGAACAGGGTGGAGGATAGATGTAAGGTGGTGGTGGCGAACGACATGGGTGTTGAGCATTTGTAGTGGTGCCAGAATGCTGCTGTGACGCGAGCAAGCTATGCACACCCAGACACAGACACACATACAGAAACACACACACACACACACACACACACACATATATATATATATGTATATATGCACACACACGCAATCAGTGACACAGACACACACACACACACACACACACACACAGACACACACACACACACAGACACACACACACACACACACACACACACGATACCTCCCTCCTTCCAGCAAAGCGTTCAAAGGCGTTCACATCGCACCTGAATGCGCAGCGGCAGACGGTGTCAAGTGCGAGCAAAACGAAATGCGAACTGATTTCAACAGGCTCCTCTGGACGCTCCGCAAACGTTTCAAACTTGTGCACCAGCTCATCCGTCGTCATCAGCATCGTCTGCACACGCGTGGAGAAAAACGTCAGCGCGTGCGCGTGTGTGTAAATATTGTTTGTGTGCGTATGTGCGCGTGAACGCGCGAGAATGCGTGTGTTTGTGTGAGAATGCGTGTGTTTGTGCGTGTATGTGTGTATGTGTATGCGAATGCATGCGCAAGCTGTCCCTGTTGGCCCCACACGGCCGACTGTTCACTGTGATCACGGTTGCCAGCGCACGGTCACGACCTGCGTGTAGTCTTTGAGCAGAGTGCGGTGGAACGCTGGATTGAGTAGTGTCCGCATGCTCCGCCACTCTTCTCCTTCCTGCCGTGCGATGAACAATGTACGTGTGCATGTGCATGTGATTGTGAGCATGTGTGAACATGTGTGAACATGTGTGAACATGTGTGAACATGTGTGTTTGAGCCAGTGAACGAGAGAAGAAGTGCATGAAAAGAACTCCAACAAGATTGGGCACACACACGTAACACGGTCGAGCCTTCGTGCGTGCATTGTACACAGACAGACGCATACACATACACGCACATACAATAGACGCAAACACACACATGCACTCGCAATAAAAACACACAGGCACACAGACACATAGACACACAGACACACAGACACACAGACACACAGACACACAGACATACGAGCACGCGCGCACCGTGAGGAGGACGGATGTGCGCCCGAGCCAGCCAAGCAGTTTGCGGATCATGGCGCCCTTGGGCGGATTGCTGGTGATGATGGCTTTGATGTCCGCTGGTCGCCGCACAGCCTGGCAGCAGCAGACATCATGGAATGTGTGTGTGTGTGTGTGTGTGTGTGTGTGTGTGTGTGTGTGTGTGTGTGTGTGTGTGTGTGTGTGTGTGTGTGTGTGTGTGCTGCAGGGGGGCGGTGTTGGTCTATAAAGAAAAATCAAAACACGCCAAACTACATGTCATGCAGACAGACACACAGGCAGATCTTTGCTCAACTCATCCACAGGAGACAGTTGCAGACAGACACACAGGCAGACCTGTCCCCATCAGAGACACACGGAAATCTGCACACAGGGATGCACCGTGACAAAGATGGACAGAACACACTCACACCTCACAGGCACACCCCAGCCACACCGACACATAGGC